CGGGACTGATAAAAAACATTCCTTTGAACATTCTGTTTGGCTTTCGTTTCTGAATGGACAAGGTGGGGGTCAGAACAGGTGGCTATGTTAGACTACGACTCATTTGAACAGTTACGGTGTTGCTTTTTCTGCTATTCTTTTCCTCCCCTGAAACGTTCCCAGATCTTCGAAGGCAACAGTGACAACTACCAGGAAGTCTCCAATGCCTTTATCCCACCCATCCTGGCCCGTTACCTTCGCGTGGTACCCCAGAGCTGGAACCAGAGAGCCGCTCTGAAGGTAGAGGTGCTGGGATGCCAAGCCCTTCGCCAGAAATACATGGAGACAGAAGGTAGAGAGTTCAAATAATATCTGGAGGGTTGTAACTTCCCCGTCCTTGTTCTGAAATGGAGGCGATTGGTAGCATTAGCAGGCAATACCTGTAATGCGATGCAGTAAAAGACGTGCCTGAAATTATTCTCTTTGCAGGCCAGGATAACCCAAAAGTGTTCCTTGGTGTGACCAGCACCCCAACCGCTTTCACAACGATCCCAGGAATAGTGATCAATCCGGATAAAACAGGTAAGGCTTCTTGTTGTTCATAATGCCAAGGAACATTTAGCCAAACATTCAGGTAGCAAAGGGTAGGAAAGAATTAACTGTTTGCAAAAAAAAACCCAAACAAACTAGAGATAATAAACAAACTCAGAGAAAACTCAAAAACAAACAAACTCGGAAAGCTCAAACTGCCCAAAGAGCTGCTGATTCTGTTCTACAGAGGATTTATGGAGTCTATCATCTGCACCTCTATAACAGTCTGGTTTGGTTCTGCAACTCAACAAGAGGATAATTAGAACTGCATAAAAAACAATTACTACCAACCTGCCTTGCATTGAGGACCTGTATAATGCATGAGTCAAAAAGAGGGCTGTGAAAATATCTACAGACCCCTCACATCGTGGACATAAATTGTTTCAACTCCTACACTCAAAACGATGCTACAGAGCACTGCATACCAAGACAACTAGATACAAGAACAGTTTTTCCCCAAATGCCATCACTCTGCTAAACAAATAATTCCCTCGCCACTGTCAAACTATTCACTAAGTCTGCATTTCTATTACTATTACCCTTCTCATCAAGAGTTGAGAGCATATGCACCAAAGACAAATTCCCTGTGTGTCCAATCACACTTGGCCAATAAAGAATTAATTCTATCTATCATCTATCTATCTATCTATCTATCTATCTATCTATCTATCTATCTA